GTTGGGGGCTTTAAGTAAGAGTTCCTCCTGTGAGTAGCTTGTGCCATGCCACTCTGTGTCACTCAGCTGCTGCTACTTCTGAGCGGAGGGTTTTTTAAAGAACTCGCAGGCCCCGGTCTCTATCACTATGAAGGGTAGACTTGACTCCTGTGGCTGCCAAGAGTCACCAGCTGTTGCCCCAAACCTTTCCTAGCCACGAGGGCCGTCGGCTAACTGCTTTCAAAAAGGAAACGGGAGCCTTGCGAAAGAGTCCTTTTGTGCCCACACATTCTGGACATGTCCTGAGTGACCATCTATTTTCCCCAGCCATGTGTTGTTCAAAGATTTGTGTCCAGGCGGTTGACTAAGACCCCTTGATGTTAGAAGCACTGCAAAGGGAGGAACAAGGCATGCCCGGTTATCCCTTTCTGTGCAATGGGGATGGCTTGTGAGGGATGATCTGTTCTCTACAGATCTAGCCTTTTCCTGACGTTGTAACTAATCCCTCCCAGCTATCCTCTTTGCTGACTTCCTGTCCTGCAAAGTCAAACCTGCCTCTGTGGGAGCAACTGGGACATACATTCCAAACCAAGGCTCCTCCTCCAGGAAGGGCAGTTCCTGTGGAAGTGGCTGGAAAGAGACTCAGGACCACCAGCTCAGCGGCTGCATCTGTACTGTTCCAGGGCACTGCCATCGCCTCTCCTCCTCCATCCAGCCCTGGGGTACGAACAGGTGAATGTGGCCCCTATCACACAGAGTATCGGGTTTGTCATTCAGATATTGGGGATGGCTGAAGAGCCTTTTGAACAGCTGTTAAGGTTGAAAACAGCCATATTGGACCAGACCAAAGTGGGCCTCTCCAGTTTAATGTTCTGTTCAAATAGCAGCCAACCAGTTGCCAACGGGAAACCCACCAGGAGAGCGTGATGGCAACTGCACCTTCCGCCACTGAGCTACAAACTGCTTTTGATGTCAGAGAGGGCATCCAGACACCAGGGTTAGTGGCCACTGGAGAGGGAAACCAGAGGCTGGGACACAAAGTAGTGGTTTCAAAACAGCAAGAAAGAAGATTCTGACTAAATATTAGGAAGGACATCTTTACTGTGAGAACAGGGCATGGACCATCTCGGACTCGCCTTTCAATGGTGGTTGGGTGGGCGTCTCTCAAGAGCTGCGCTGCATTGTCCGGCAGGGTAGGTGGCTCAATTAGGGGCCCCTCATGGACCCTCACAACCCTGTTTCCCCTCCTCAAGGGCTCTCTGCGCTTCCACAATACTGTGACTAGAAAGGTGGCAAATGGAGCATCCCAGCCACTTCCAAGACCCTCCTCGTTCCTCCCTTGTCACAAAATAAGCCTGGCTTGTTCTAGTACAGGCTCCCCCCAGACCCACTGGCTGCCAGCCCAGTCTCTCCATCCCTTACCCCAGGCCCCCAGCGAGGCCCTTTGGTCACCCAGCAGATCTCCGTCTGGCAGACAGGGCACCGGAGCCAGTCGCAGCCACCCTTCTTCTGCACCACGATGCGGCACACGGGGCAGTGCATGGCCTTGCCCAGCTGCACCAGCGCCTGGCAGGGAAGAGGGAGAAGGAAATCCGTTTAGACAGCTGCACACATGGGCAGGGCGTGGGGAGGCAGCTGTTCCACTCCTTTGGTGATTCCTCTTCTGCCTCCTCGCCCCTCTTGGCTCTCCTGCCGCCACATCCCCTAATTTTCCAGGTCAACAGCTGCCTTGCTGCTTGCCTGCGGGTCGAAAGGAAGCATCCTCAGTGCGAGGCCCTGCAGCAAGCCAGCTGTGCAGAAGGCAGGCAACAGGCAGTTGTTGCATCTGGAGATCCAGGAGCATGAGGACAAGGGACTTGCCAGGGACAACCGTAGGGCAGGCTAAGACCTTGCCAAAAAAGCACCCCCCTCTTTGATAACCAGTTCTGTGGGGGGGGGGAGTTATCGGCTAAGGCTCCTCACCTTCAACATATTGCTGGTTTCCCGGGCAGCGGCATCATTGTGGGCCTGGAACTGCAGCTCGTCCTGGTACTGCTTGCAGTTCATGCCCTCATGAATGGTCTACAAGCAAAAAGAGGGAGGGGAAGTCAGAATCAGGCAGGGATGGGGAACCTCCAGCAGAAGTTCCAGGCTTGTGGGCTTCTTTCTCTCTGCTAGACCTGGTCTACGCTGGGCACCCTCCTGTCTTCTGTGTCCGTGGCAAGGCTCCCTGTGCACAAACCTTCCACAGGGACAGAGCCTCCTTGGCCCTGCGCAGCTGATGTGCAAAGGGGAGGTGAGCCACATCCCTTCTGGAGGCTCTCCTTTCCAACAAGGGTTTGGTATGTAGGACAACTGCCACAAAAGGGAAAGGGTGCAGGGGCTTTGTCTGCAGCGGTGCTGTCCTGACCCTTGTGGGATTTTGCTCAAATAACCCACCCTGCCTGCCCTGCGGCCTGTAGCAGTACCGTCCACTGTGTGTGTCCCCCCCCCCTTGTTCTTCAGCAAATGGAGACCCAAAGCACTGCAGGGGATCGCCCCTTGAGCTTGCAAGCCTCTCTCCCCTGCCTTAGGTCAGCCTCCTTTGCCTTCACACTTTAAGGCAATAACGGGGATTCCTAGTCCACCGGGGAACAGCTTCTGTTGCACAGGCAGAGTGTACAAGAAAGGAAGAATGACGAGGACAGCTTTCTGTCATTTTCCACGCTTTGCTAAAGGATGCTGGGGAAAAAGGACTGCTAAGGGATGGAAAGAATGGCAAAGAGGAGCCAGGTGTAGGGGTGTATGTACACTTCTGGGGTTCAGGAGGCAGGGCTCCATACTCTTCTCCCCCTGCTCTTGGGTCTGTCCCCAATGATTTGTGAATCGTGCAGGGCGAGCATGCAAGGCCCAACTAAGCCAGGCCTTGTAACAGGTACTGCTCTTTTCTGGCACTGGGTGAGAGCGCAGCATACTGGGACCATCTTCTCAAAGGGATGCCCGCTGCCACTGCTGCACTGGCCCACCTTGCAAACAAGACAGTTCAGTGCCCAGCAGATGGGGCAGCGGAACTCGTTGACGTCGTCCTCGTAGATGCACCAGCCCAGGCAGTCGGCCGTCTGGCAGTGGTAGCTGTTCTGGGCTCGGCTCTCCGCCACCGCCAAGCGCCGCTTCAGGAACCGGTCGTACTCGTCCCGAGACACTAGCTGTGGAGAAGAGAACAGAGGAGCTAGCTTGGAGATGCCCGCAGGTGGGACAAAACAAGAGAGATATAGGACATGGCTGCTTAGGTGGAATTGCTTTTCCTGGTGCTTAAATCCATTGCTCCATGCCCCAGTCTCTGGAGCAGCAGAAAAGAAGCTTGCTCCACCTTCCAATATAGAATCATTGCAAGAACCTCAAGGGCCATCCAATCCAACCCTCTTTTTCTGCCATGCAGGAAGACACAAAGCACCCCCAATAGATGGCCATCCAGCCTCTCTTTAAGAACCTCCAAAGAAGGAGACTCCATCACACTCCAAAGCAGCAGCATCTTCCATTGTTGAACAGCTTTTATCCCCAGGAGGTTCTTCCTACTGTTGAGGTGGAACCTCTTTTCTTGTATGACATCCCTACAACCTTTCTTCACCTTCAGTGTAACATCCCTTCAATTTGACAGTGTAGAAAGGAATACTGTAACTGCTAAAAGCCATCAGGGGAGAAGATCAGGTGGATCAAGGGTATCTTATAGATGTTACGTATCTTCATTTCTGTAAGGCTTTGACTCAATCCCCTCTGATACTCTTGCAGACAAGCCAGGAAAATATGGGCTACATAAAGCTGCTATTAAATGAATTTGTAGTCCTTTGACAGACCAAACTCAGGAAAGCTCAGCAATGCCTCCTTTTTTTCCTGAAGAGAAGTGACCAATGACGTGTCACAGGGTTTTGTCCTGGGCCGAGGGCTATTCAACATCTCTAGCAATGAATAAAAGAACATTCGTATCAAATTTTCAGGTGACACCAATTTAGGAGGAGTAGCTAATACCCCAGAGGACAGGATCAACATTCAAAATGACCTGAATAGATTAGAAAGCTGGGCCAAAACCAATGAAATGAACTTCAACAGGAAGAAATGTAAGGTACTGCACTTAATCTAGGATGGGTGACACCTGCCTTGATGGCAGTACATGTAAAAAGGACCTATGGGCCTTAGTAGAGCACAAGATAAACATGGGCAAACAGTGTGATGCAGCAGTCAAAAACACCAAGGCAATTCTGGCTGCACGAACAGGAGTATAATGTCCAGATCAAAGGAAGCTACCATATTACCCGATTCTGCTAGAAAGTGTCCAGAGGAGGACAATCAAGATAGTAAAATCCCTAAGAGGAACAGCCTGGAGAGCTGGGTATGTCTAGTCTGGAGGAAAGAAGATGGGAGAGGTGGCACAGGAGCCATCTTTAAATATCTGCGGGACTGTAAAGTGATGGAGCAAACCTGCTGCTCTAGAAGGCAGAACCTGAACCAATGGGTTCAAACTACAAGAAAAGAAATGCCAACGAAACATTAAGAACTTCCTGGTGGAAAATGCAGTTCAACAGGGGAACAGACTGCCTCTTGGAGGACAGTGGACTGGCTTACCTTGGAGGTCTCTCAACAGAGGTGGGATGGCTGCCTTTCGGGGGGCTTCAGTTTACTCCTCAATGGCAGGACGTTGGAATAGCAACTCTTATTATTTTAATGGGAGGGGGAAGGACTACAAAGTTTTCATTTTCTAGCACGGCAGCCAAAGTAGCCTATTAAAAAGATCACTTCTCAGACTTGGCTTCTCCCGACAGCTACCCAGGCTGCCAGGCGCACATTCAAAGGGGGAGTCCAGCCATAAGGCTGTGGCTGCATTAAGGAGGACACAATGGGGAGGAGTAAGCCTTCCTGGTTGCAACCTGCCTGTTGTTGTTGTGTGTCTTCAAGTTGTTTCCAAATTATTACACGGGGTTTTCTTGGCAGGATTTGTTCAGAAGAGGTTTTCCTTTGCCTTCCTCTGAGAAAGCATGACTTGTCCAAGATCACCCAGTGGGTTTCAATGACTGAGCAGGGATTTGAACCCTGTTCTCCAGAATCACAGTCCAGCACTCAGCCCACTACACCACACCGGCTCTCTAGCCTGCCCTTTACCTGTTAAATTACTAGTTAAATTATATCCCACCTGTCTCCTTGCACAAGATCCAAGGCAGCTGTGAGGATGGGTTAACACCTGTGTGGTTCAGTTTCCTTTGACTGGTTCTACCTTACATAGCCCACCCCAGGGGAGCCATTATCCAGCCTCAGGGATCTAGATATTGGCCCTAGGGTGGCCAGGCAGAACCAATTGCTTAGGGGCCACCGGCTGCCACCTATGAAAGAGCTGCTGTGATGCTCTCCTCCTGTGTGGAATGCTGCTTCCATTTCCTAACAAGGAAACTCATCCCGTAGCAAGGATGTGCGAGCCTGTTTTTGGCACTGAATCCTGGGGAGACTGTCCTGACTCACCGCCTTGATCTCTCTGTCCTGGAGGTGGCTGTTGCAGGCGTAGGAGTCGTCCCGGAAGGGGCAGGGCACCTGCGGCTCCTCGGTGCAGTTGATCAGCTGGCGCAGGCAGTCCCTGAAAAGGAGGAGGAAGGAAGGAAGGGAGAGATGGGGAGGTGTGCTTTCAGATGACCTGGCCCCAGAACAGCCCAGGGTTCCCCCACTGACCTGCAGAAGCTGTGCAGGCACTCGCGAAGCAGCACCCCTTCGCCCGGCTCCACCTCCAGGTAGCAGATGCGGCACTCAATGTTCTCCTGGTTGGGCACCAGGGCCTCTTCGTCCAACTGGCGGAGCTGCTGGAAGTTCTGCAGCCGTTCCTGCTCCAGCACCTGGAGAAAAGGAGGGTGGTTGCCAGCACAGAGAGAGAGAGAGAGAGAGAGAGAGAGAGCATGCGTGGCATGGCATGGGAGGAATGCTGCTGCTGCTGCTGCAGATGTGCTAAAAGGCACTCAGAAGGGAGGGACGCAGGGCATCACTCTCCATGGGCACTGTGTGCAGGAGACCTGCCTAGTGGTACCGGAGGCTGAATCCACTCAGAGACCCTCTTTGATGTTGGAAAAGGGAAACATAACCCCAAAGGATGGTGGGGGCTGTGGGGGCTGCAACTCCCATCTGCACCACCTGGCATAGCAAAGAGTCAGGAATGCTGGGTGTTTCTGTCCAACAACTTCTGAGGGGGGGCACTATTTCCTCACCCATGCCCTAGAACAGGGCTGTATGCACACACACAGTCACCAACACTTCCAGCATCCCCAGAACAAAAAAAGAGGGTGAACCCCTGCTCCTCCTAGATGACCAGCAGTTCATAAATAGGTTGCAAGGCCACTCCATACTGTTTAAACATTTTTTTAAAAAATACTTATTTTTGAGAACCAGGAATGGACTCTTCTTTCATTTCTTAGTCCGTGTGGCTACCAGTGCCACAAAAAAGTGGCCCTTGGCCAGCCAGCCACGCCGTGCCTCCCCTATATATGACCATATCTGACTTCCTCGATGTCCCACCGTTGGGAGGAGGAGAGGGCCTTCTCAAGTGTGGTGCCTCCCACTGGGTTTCACTCCCAATTGGTTTCATTTTGGCACCAAATTAAAAGACAACACACTTTCTTTTCAAACATTTGAGGCTGTGTAGTCATGGGAGATAGATATTGGAGCTCCTGAGACTCACTGAAAGAAAGATGTTGGCAGCATGAGCTTTCCTAGACTTAAATCTACTTCCTCAGATGCATTTTCCACTCCACCAAGTGCATCTGAGGGAGAAGACTTAAGTCTAGGAGAGCTTATGCTGCCAACTTCTTTCAGTGAATCGCAAAGGTGCTACAAGATCTCTCTACCTATTGATTCTACAGACTAACATGATATATCTTTGAGTAATCATGGGCTTGCTTTTTTGACCTATTGAATTGTGGATTCTATTTCGAATGTGCTGTGTTGTTTAATTGATTGTACTTCATCTGGAGACAGATCCCAACAGGCAAGAACGATGGGAGTTGCGGTCCAACAGACGAACTGCACACTATACACTCTGGAGGCTATATATATATATATATATATATCCTCCACCTATGTATGCGCTGAATACCCTCACCTCTCCATGTGGGACCCAAGGAGGCCATAGATGAAAACCAAGTACAGATTCATGTCTGCCTGAACATGGAGATCTGATGGGGAAACTGAAGACCCACCATTTGGTCTTTAGTTTCGACACCATCAGTACAATGTCTGTTATGGGCTGCCTTTTCCTTCTAAGTTAAATCGCCTGTTTGTCTTCCCATCACAGCAGAGGTCACTGAAGTGCACAAGAGTAATAGTTGAGGTTAGTATTCGTGTGTGCAATACAAAAACTAATCTAGTATACTCCTTGTGTGCCTGGGGATCTTGCAGCACCTGTGAGAGTACCGTATTTTCCGGCGTATAAGACGACCCGCGTATAAGACGACCCCCCTATTTTTCCAGTCAAAATATAGAGTTTTAGCACCTCTATCCTCATTATCCTTATATCTGGCGTATAAGACGACCCCCCCACTTTAGCCACAGATTTTGCAGGTAAAAAAGTAGTCTTATACGCAGGAAAATAAGGTAACTGTGCAAAAGAAGTTGTAGCAGAAGCTTTCCTAAACCTGGTCTACTTCCTCAGATGCATGGAGTGAAATGATGCTCAGGAAGGACTTTTATAATCAGTTATGAATACCTGAGAGTCAGCATGGCTCACAAAAGATGCTAAAAAACAACAGTAAAAATGGTACAGTTTTTAAAAAAGAATTAAAAACATCACATCATTATAACCATTTAAAAAGATAAAGCCATTAGCAACATATTAAGAGCTAGTGGTTTGAGTGCTGGACTAACCAGCTTGGCCATGAAGAAGCCCACTGGATGACCCTGGGCGAGTCACAACCTCTCAGCCTCAGAGGATGGCAATGGCAAATGCCTCTGAAGAAACTTGCCAAGAAAACCCTGTGATAGGTTGGCCTTAGGGTTGCCATAAGTAGGAAATGACTTGAAGGCACACAATAACAAATGAATACGAATGGAAATGCAAAATGTGTGGGTCTGGTGAAGAGGTGACAAGTGAGGGACAAACCGTAAAGTCTGGCCATTCCCAAGGTTAATAAAGGCCTGCCTTTTACTCACAGCTGAGTTCTCATTTGCTCCAACAATGTGGCCTTTTAGTCCCAGAATGTATTTTCAATATAAAATATGCTTATATTTTACTGAGAAAGGGGACGTGTTTATGTCATTCCTCATAAAAATGGTACAGGAACCATTCAGAGGTAGGTGCCCATGACACAACCAAGGGAGTTAGCCAGCAAACCAGGGGAATCAAACCCTGGTATCCTAGGCCAAGGCTCGAAGCACATTGTGAACTGCTTTGCTTCCTAAATAAAGCTTTCTGTTTTGCACTGAAGTTTGTGTTTCTGAGCCAAAGTCATCCAGTACATGAGAGTGAGCCAAGCTGGGCCAGACAACAGACTGCATCACCATCTGGAACTCTGTCCAAAGGAGGGCAACCGAAATGGTGAAGGGTCTGGAAACCACCAAGCCCTATGAAGAGCAACCCAGGGAGCTCTAGATGTTTAGCCTGGAGAAGCTTAAGAGGTGATATGATAGCCCTGCTTAAATATTTGAAGGGGTCTCATTCGGAGGATGGAGCAAGCTTGTTTTCTGCTGTTCCAGAGAATATGAAATGGAGCAATGGATGCAAGCTCCAGGAAAAGAGATTCCGCCTCAACATTAGGAGGAAATTCCTGAAAGTAATTGCTGTTTGACAGTGGAATACACTCCCTCAATGGAGATTTTGGTGGAGTCTCCTTCTTTGGAGGTCTTTAAGCAGAGGCTGGATGGCCATCTGTCTCAGGGAGGGCTTTGATTGTGAGCTCCTGCATGGCAGAAAGGGGGTTGGACTGGAAGTCTCTTCCAACCCTATGATTCCCTGATTCTATCTTTCTTAGGACTGGGCACTGGTTTGAGGCAAATGGTGACCAGAGGCTGCTTAATGCTTCTATTAACAGCCCCCCCCCCAATACACACACAGAGACACACAGCTGCCCCTCTTTGGCATGAGGCAGAAGCAGAAGGGCAGACCAATGCCATCTCAGTAGCCACACTTCTTCCCACAGGACAGGAAGGGGTCTGCTGGGGCTTCCTCCTAAGCAGACCTGTGCTTTTGGGCCCTTGATGTGGAAATTCCCAAACGGGATGAGGATTACACCTGGCCTTGCCTGTTGTGGCACAAGCCCTTCCCCATGAGACCCTCCCTGCACTGGAATTATGCTACTGAGCCTAGAAAAGTGTTTCCCTGCCTTAAAGGTTAGCCAGGACTTTTTCTCCGCAGCCAACAGCTACTGCAGGAGGTCAGCACAAGTGGTCAGGAGGTTGAGAAGCCAGCTGAGCCAAGGCTAAATGCTCCAACTTTGGGGTCAGTCAGCAGCGGGGCTGGGAGCATGTCAGATTTCCCAGAACAGCTTCCCAAAAGGTGGAAAAGTCTCATCCAGGTTTTTCTTGGGAATAAGTCTCACAACAGCAGCGACCCTGGAATGGCATGTGGGGTGGGACGGGTGAGTGGGGGTGTATGCTAAGTCCCCGGAAATGATCTGGAACCACCAGGAGTCCAAAGTCATCAGGCCCTCAGGAATTAGCAATCGGAACTGTTCCAAATGGCCATTACTCTGCTATTGTTTCTTTGGTATTAGGATTATTGTCACCTTGTGAAACAGGTTTCCAACAGGTGCTTCATCATTAACACTTTGCAAAAGGGAGGAAAAGAGATCAGGATAAATGCAAAGACAGACCCCAGCCTTTCTGTGTCCCCTCCGCCACTCCTGGATGCTATAGAGAGAGCTGAGAGCGCAGGTGAGTCTAGCCCAAAGGAATCATTTAATACAATGAGGGAGAGACACTCTCCAATTCATGCCAGAACATCAAACATACAATCACGTTTTATGGACATTAACCCATCTCCAAACGGCACCTGAAACTTCCATCACAGTAAAATCACAGCATTTCTTAGCGCGAGAAGGACCTCTCTGGCCCAACCCGCAGGCTGCTCCCCACTGGCACCCCTTTCTGGGCAGATCCAGGCCAGGCATTGGGG